AAACAAAGAAAGAAAACAGTAACAAAAACCTAAAAATCAAAAATGAAACCAAAACCCATAAGCAAACCAAAAACCAAAATCAAAAATAAAAAAACCTTACAAAACCTCCCAAAACCCCAAACATCTAGGTGTGGTAGTCCATGCCTTTAGTCCCAGTACTCAGGAGGCAGTAGTAGGCAGATCTCTGTGAGATAGAGGCCAGCCTGGTCTACATAATGAGTTCCAGGTTAGCTGGGCTACAGGGAGGCCCTGAACCCATAAGCAAACCAAAAACCAAAATCAAAAATAAAAAAACCTTACAAAACCTCCCAAAACCCCAAACATCTAGGTGTGGTAGTCCATGCCTTTAGTCCCAGTACTCAGGAGGCAGTAGTAGGCAGATCTCTGTGAGATAGAGGCCAGCCTGGTCTACATAATGAGTTCCAGGTTAGCTGGGCTACAGGGAGGCCCTGTCTCAAAAGAAATCAAAACAACCATTAAACAATCCAAGTAAGGACCAGAGAATGTCTCGTTCCTGGGTTCTAGGGTTGTCCTTACAGGTTCCAGTATATTCTACAAGTTGTTTACCATCTAGTTACCAAACTGTTTACTATTTTTTGCACTTTATTTTGACAACACAGAACAAAATTACCTGAATGGCAGTGCATAGGCAAAGCCTTAACAAACCCTTCTTGAAATGAAATGAAGAGAAAATACACTTGTTTCACACACTAAATACATATTTAACCTACCCTGACAGTGCAACAGGCTTGATGTCAACACTAGACAGTACCAGTGAGGTTTCTGGAGACTCTGGAGACAGGCACAGTCTCAGATTTAAGGTGGGGTTAGGACACAGGGCCATGCTGAGGAATTGAAGACACTGTGGTTTCTTGTGCGCATTCTGTGAGCTCATGTCTGTAGAGTTCTGGGTAGGGCAATTGGTTGATGAGTCAATGAATGGGAAACTTTTTTTTCTTCTTAAGATAGGGGAAATGTCAAGAGAATCATGAAGTGTTGGAGATTAAGTTCGAGAGTTCCTGGGATGGCAGTAGAAGCGTGCACTTTTCTTCTCTTGTATCGCCCACCTTCTTTCTACCCCATTCATTGCTGGCACCAGTGAAGATGGAGGATTGTTTGACTTCCAATATCTGTTTTCCTCTCTTCCTTCTTTCCTTTCTCTTTTTTCCTTTTGGCTTCTATTTTTTTTTTAACCTTTCTCTCCCTATCGTTTTTAATTTCCCTCTCCTCTTCCCATTTATTGTGTCTAACATGAGTTAATTTTGTACTTTGCTATTCTTGGTCACCTCAATAAGGCTCTTTGTATGGAGATCTCCTTGCCAAAGCCATATTAAACTCACTGGGCTTCTAAAGTTAGTCTAGCTTGTTTTGGCTCCACAGTGGAAGGTCTGCAGTTCAACAAACAAGAAAGGTATGAGACCAGAGGATTCTTGTCTCAAAGGGGGCTGCTTTACACAGGCTTCCCAGAATGAAGGCAGAGCCTGACAGGAAAAAGATCTGAGGACTCCAGCATAATCCATAAGAGAGTAGTTATTATCTTGCTCCCTGCCAAGTTGGTGCCACAGCCACTCTCAGAAGCCATTTTTCACACTGCTTTCAGCCAGCTCAGCACAATATCTGTGTGACAGCTTCACTTGGGGTGAGCAATGGGAAAAGGCAGTTTCCCACAGGGCGAGGCTGTTTTTGTTGCTCCCTTTAATTCCCTCCAAAGCACCATGTGGAACTGATGTCATGACTTGGGGCCAAATAAGACTAAAAGTGGAGTAAGATGCAAGGGGGAAGCGAATAAGACTGTAAAAGGTAACAAGTCTAGAAGCAAGAGACCTGGGATTGGAGTCTAGTTGTACCACTTGCTCACACAGATTATTTAGCCTTGTTTTAGTGAGCCAGGGGGAAGATCTGCTGTGATGCTTGTAAACCATCCATCAGGGGCCTGGAGTATGGCAGGTGCAGAATGTCCAGTACCAGCTTTGCTCTAAGCCTCATTTTCCTTGTGTATGAAACAGAAGAAGATAGGAAGACCCCATCTGTAGAGTTATTTGGGGAAGTTGAATGAGGTCTCTGGCAAAGATAAGTGCCATATAACTGTCTCCTCTCAAGCTGAATTTTCGGAAGGTGGACACGAGAAACCATGCCTGTCATGCCTCATGCTTTTCTTGAACCTGGATGCGATCCCATCAAGTGGTTGAACTTGACTCCTCTTCCTCTGAATCGGAAAGGGCTTGGAATTTCCTTGGCATCATTCTGGTTGGTTGATTCTGGGAACTGTAGAGACCTCACTATAAAAGGCCTCACATGTAGCTTGTGTTTAACTAGTTGGGTATTTTCCCTGTGGTGTTAGGAATAAAACATAACCCTTGTACGTGCTAAGCACATGCTCTACCATGAAGTTACAGCCCCATCTCTGCCTAACAGGTAAGCAGGCAGCTTTGTTTGGCGTGGAGACAGTTGGCTGTGTTGAAGCAGCCATGCTGGGAGGAAGCCCATCTTTGTGTAGGGAGGCCAGAGATAGATGCTCTATCCTCACTCTACAACAGTTGCTGCCTGAACCACAACCTCATGACACACAGAAATCA